AACATGGAAAAACCTATGGGAATCCCTGATCTTGGTTGGTGACTGTCTTCCTTAAAAACTAACGGAGGGCCCTGGACGGAGGTAGGAAGACAGCCGTCATCCTCATATTACACATACGTACGACCTGTACCGGTAGATACGATACGGTAGGTATGTGACACCGTCAGTGGTCGTAAGTGTACGTAACTCCACAATATCGTAGACGGTACCGAACGTACGAGTTATGAGTACGATACGTACCGTCCGATAGTATGGTACGAGTACGAGTATGTAACGTACCGGTACGTATCGTTCCCCGTTCTTGATTCTTGCATTTTTTCACATTTTTCGAGCTCATGAAAATCTGACTCACAAAAAACACACATCTTTACAAAGTGAAGACTGTTAGCCAAAATACGAAGAATAATCATCGTAGTCACCGACGTCGGCGAATTGATAGTCCAAGCAATCGTGAGAATTACAGCGTCACCGGCCTACCTTGCATTCATTAAAAATATCCTGTTGCCAGAAAAAGAGAAAACAATCATTTCCATGTGCAGACCCAACAATACCGAAACCACCGGAAACTCGAGACGCAAGAGAGTCGTCATCAGTGGCGCGGGCCCTGCCGGTTTGCTTTTAGCATCTCTCTTATTGAATAAGAACAAAGATTCATCATGCACGGTCACTTACGACGTCACCCTTTTGGACGGTCGAGAGGATTTCGGTATTTTCACAAAAGAAGAACTTTCGGAGAACCACCGCAGTTGGATGCTCGGCCTTGCGGATCACGGAATGGATGCCATCAAGACTCTTCCTGACCTTTACGAGAACTATGTCAAGGGAGAAGGAATTCTGGTCAGAGAATTCAATATATTCTTGGGAAGCAAGAAGGTGACGCAGACGCTAGATTCCTATGAGAACACTATGAAGCGATTAGGAAAGTCGGCGAAAGATTCGTCGCCTCCCGAGGCTTTCATCGTTGATCGAAACTTTATCGTAGCTGCGATGGCGAGATACATTCGAGAAACGCATAAGAACGATTCCAACTTCAAAGCCATGTACAAAACGACTTGCCAATACGTGGATTACGATAACCGGCGGGTACTTGTCCGTAATGTTAATACGAAGGAGGAGCATTACGTAGACTACGACCTGCTCGTGGGATGTGATGGAGTCCGATCGACCGTCCGTGAGGCAATCGTCAAGCGCCATTCTGATTTTTCTATGGAGTATACGGACATTTTTCAAGAGTTTAAGATGACACATCTGAAAGCGCCAAAAAAAGTTTCGAAGTCCGCAATGAGCATCCTTCCCGATATCTTTCCGAACTGCCAGGGCATTTGCCTACCAGAGACCGGAGACCTAGTGAATATTGGTATTGGTGTCCCACGAAATCTGGTTGACGATTTGGACGACGAGCTGAAGAGTGACGACTACAGGGTTGTCGCCGAGTACGCCAGGAAGAACTTCAAGGCCTTTGAGCTCGAAGATTACGATGACTTTGGGAAGCAATGGGTTGGTCAACGATGGAACCAAACGGGCATGGTTCACTGCAACTTTTATCATTCCCTGAAAACAGGTGTTGTTATCATGGGAGATGCCGCCCATGCAACAAGCCCATCTATCGGTATGGGAATGAACACAGCCCTTCGAGATGCTCAAATTTTTAGCGAAATCTTGGAGGAAACCCAGGACGATTTCGAGAAGGCGCTACCCGCCTTTTCGGAGGCACGAGTCAAAGAAGGAAACGCTTTGTCGGACCTCGCAATGCATTTGTACTGTATGGACAAGAAGCATCAATTTATTGAGACGATCCATTTGGTTGTGCGAAGTTTCCTGTATTCCAAATTTCCTACATTGATTGCCGAACACCCCCAAACTATGGTTGGCCGCAGGGGCATCGCCCTTAGCGATGTCTATACCCAGGCAGTAAAGCTGGGAGTCATGGGCAAACACCGAGCGATTAACGATCGCATTCGAATGGACTATTTTGAACGAAAGACAGGAATGGTTAAAGCTTCAGAAATTATGGGGAGAGGCATTGTTTCAACACTCATCTATGGAGCCGGCCTTGTAGCACTTGGAGCCGTCACGTACCAAAAACTAATCCTGTAATAGTACTGCTGCTACTGGTAGAAGAGAAAGAGGCATTAATAAGAAGAAAGAATCTATCGGATAGTATAAAAAAGTGATACTACTACTACTCAGAATTCTACTAATTCAAAACTGCTGCTTTAGATAAAAGGTTGGTGAAAAATGAAAGTGTCATCATACTACTGTAGTACAGTAGTGTTTATGATAAGCAGGTTGTTACTACAGTAGTTTCGATCTTTCCTTGAATAGTTCTACTATTACAAGTACTACAATTGTTTTTCTTCAGTAAAATAAAAATTTTCACATAAATCAAAAATCCCTTTTTGTCAACATTGGGTCATTCCTGTTAATCTAGATGGTCTACTTTTTGATAGACAGACAGACCAAAAATATACCATCTGGTCTTAATGTTTTGACTATCTGTCAACCCTCAATTCACCCTTGACAGAAAGTCTAAATCTAGACTGGAATCCAAGAATGAAAATCTGTTGAAAGACTCAACTGAAAAGGCCCGCCAAATTTAAGACTGAATAAATTTACTATAGAAAAAGAAGGTGCCTTTCAAGAAGGTGCCAGCACTAGTATGATCATAAAGCAGACAATGAAAACAATGTCCCATATCTCAGTCACAGCTACTCTTTATCTTAGATCAAAACAAAGAGAGACACAGCTGCTGGAAGCCTTGTTGTCTCAAGTGCAAGGCTTTGAGACAGGGAGGGGGGATATCCCTCTTGCAATATTCATTCCATGAACAAGAAAGATGATGACCGGTACTGGTCCTTATGCTACTAATCCTCCTTGTAATGGGGATTGCTTGTCTCCCCTGGCACCAGCATCAGTCCCTCCCTCAGGATTCCCTCCGGGGGGCAACAAGAACCAAAAGTAGAGGGGTCAGGCCATAAGGCCAGTACTGCAAACTACTCAGAAGACGAGTGTATCTCATTGATGACTCTTGTCAAGGAAATCCTCCCCATTACTCACTCATAGTGGTTCATATACATGGACAGAGCTATCCCTATGGTGGTAGAACAAAGGATTCCATTAAAACCAAGTTCAATTGATTGAGGAGACAGAAGGCACCTACTGGGAATCCCATTGTCCCTGAGTCGGTCCAGCTTTCAAGAGAGCAGGTCCACCACTTGATTGGAATAAAGGCAAATCTTGGTACTGGAGAGGAAATAATGTTTTATCCAATAAAAGGTTACATCAATGATGAGGATGTAGAGGTCTTGGATGATAGCACAGCTTCAACTTCCAACATGACTCCTGGTGACAATGAAGTTGATGAGATCGTTGTGACTAAAGTTGCTCAAGCAAAATAGAGATCTTATGGTAGTAGGCTCAAGAGGGAACTTGCTAAACAGGATGCTATTCTTAAGGAGTATCTCATGAAGCAGGACAAGAGAGAAGGTGAAAGAGACAGGAGGAAAGCTCATAAGAGGTAGGAGGCAAGAGATTGTAGGGCTCAACAGAGTGATGATTGTTGGCGTACTGTTGGCTGAATCTCTTGCCTTGACAACAATGGCAGTGGTGCTCACTGGTGGGAGCATGGGAAACAACAACAACAACAACAACAACAACAACAACAACAACAACAGCAACAACAACAACAACAGCAACAACAGCAACAACAGCAACAACAGCAACAACAACAACAACAACAACAACAACAGCAACAACAACAACATCATCATCATCATCATCATCATCATCATCATCATCATCATCATCATCATCATGGTACAAGCAATTTCCATCATGGAGATAGCAATTCCCATGGTGAAAGCAATTAATCGCAAATTAAATCTAAATCAACAAGAAGCGATCCTGTAACATGCAGCATAGCAGCAAAATAATGAGAAGAGACCATGTTATTCCAAAATTTTGCCATGGTTTTTTGTATTGCTAGTAGTGGTTCAAACCGGAAGCTACTGTAGTAATGAAGATGAATATCTTAAGCACCAAGACAGAGCAATGCAATGTCTCAACATATACTCTAATGAAGAAAAGGTACGCAAACAATGCATGTGAATGCCAATCAACACATGTAAGCACTAGTAGTCCAAGACAACAAGTAGCGTCTACCTCCCTAGGCTCTCCCTTCTTTTTTCCACTCCATGTGGGGGGGAGGGCGAAGAAGACGAACAATCTCATTGTTCTTGTTGACTGTGTAGTATCTGTTGAAAGCTGGAGCAAATAGCTCAAGGAGATCCCTGAAGACCTTGTAGTCTAGTCTACTCCACAACAGTTAAGAAGTGCTTGGCCATCCCCTGAGTGGAAGAGGAAGATGAAAGGCAAGTCTGCATATCTCTTTATTGCAATCCTAGGCTTTCTTCTGTCCCCTGGGGTCTTCTGGTGTTTTTTTCGTCCCATTCCTCCACCACCAATCGACCCCTATGCTTGGTTGCCCAGTATATGCAAAGGGTCTCAATGATGCCCATTGTCTCCCTTTTGTTTGCTAGGAGGGAACTATGGTCTATTGTTCAGGGAAGAGAAGGAGGATTTAGTAGTATGAGTACGCAAATTTTATCTCCTGTTACTACTACTACTACTACTACTACTACTACTACTACTACTACTACTACTACTACTACTACTACTACTACTACTACTATGTTTCTTAGAGGAACACCAGTATCAAAAATTTCATGTTTATTTAGTACCTGCGGGCGCATTTTTCCAGTCTTAGTAGTCATTTCTGTTGAGATTCCAAATTCCTGTAAGGAGACTACCGGCGCCTAAAAAATGTCCATTGGGGCCCTATTTTTAATGGTTCCAGACCATCCTCTGTATTAATGGGAATGACACATTTTCTTATTTTTCTTATTCCAGCAGGGGATTAAAGTATGAGTTTCACAAAAACTGCTCCAAGAACAATCGCCTGACCCCAAACGACTAGTACTGCTGCGATGTACAGTACCAGGTACTTAGTGATCAGTACTGTCTAGTACGAAATACGTCTTAAGCAAGAAGTACTGTACGTACCGTAGAACTGGACTGTAGTACCAGTATTTCTTCGTCCATACAGTACGTACCGTACGTACGTACCCTACAATTCTTCTCATGACGAAATCCGGGTCTTTCCAAATTTCATCCGCGCAGAAGAACAAAGAACATCGCGCGGAACAAAGAAAACATCAACACAAATCCTTCCCGAACTTCGGACATCTGTCACTTGCAAGAAACTAATACTAGAGTTTTTACGAAGTCGAAGACTCGCGACATGATGTCGATAGGTGCTGGGTGACCGGAAGAGGATACCTAAATCTGACCCTCTTTTTTTGGCGGTTGCTTTGCCGTTGTCTCCTAGTACGAGTGCTAGTAGCGAGTAGAGGCGAAGTTCTCTCTGGTCTCCTGTCTGATAACATGCTTTGTATCATCGATTCTGCCAGACCGTTCGTCTAATACTTGTTCCGAGGATTAATTATCGGTTGACTTGAACTGAGGAAGCAAACGCAACCATGGCTGTCAAAAAGAGTAAGTACACTGGTAGTTTTCACTTCGTTTACAAGACCAGCGATTGTTGTCTCGATGTTTGATTCCCTGTCGCGATCCTGATTGCATCCTGCGTGAGAAAGACACAAAAAGCTAATCAATGTCGCCGATTATTGTCTGGTTGCATGGTGCGTTGTTCCTCTACTTTCTTCATCGATGCGATCTGCCACCAAACGAACAGAAGCATCGGTCTCTGAAAATTATTGCAAGAAACTACTCGACGACAATAAAGATATCCCGGATGCCTGCAAAAGATTCGCCAGCATCAAGGCCTCTTTAGATGCGAAAAAGAGCGATCCATATGCGGGGATGACCCCGGGAGCCCAAGCTACTGTGCGCAATGCCCAAATCAAACGTCGCATGAGCACTCGGCACAATCAAGGAAAGGAAGGGAAAAAATCTTCTTGGTGGTAGTATTTGTCGATATGTTCCAAACGCCTCAAGCGTGCGAGATGCGACGAGCTATCGCATCAAAATAGACACCGGGAAGAAAGAGAAGAGGATGGGAACAGAAATGGAATTGAGCKAAGAAATATAGTGTTTGTTCCGTCCATTGCCACTACAGGCATGCATTTCTTGTGCGCAGATGTATTCGATGAGATTTTATTCGTTCTTCCTTAGTGGTTCTACGGATAGAAATGAAATGCATTCGCGCAGATCTTGGTTGTTGCGATACTTGTAATTGCCGACGAGAAAAAAGATTTGTTGCTTGCACTTCTGCTGTGAACGTTAACTGCGATGCGATGCATCGTTCACGGTAGGTTGTATTGGAGGAAGCATCATGGTCATGTCTATACTTTGTCTTTTCATTTCTGATGCTAGTCAACTTGCCTTCAACCATTACTTAGAGAAAATATTTATGAGTTTTAGTCTTCGCATCAAATGGCGCTGGGAGCATTTTGCCTTCAATCATTGAAATGTCCTGTTCTATGCTACTGTGCCCTGTGTACGGTACAAACGGAAAGAATCGTCAAAACACGACACTATTGAAGTTATGAACATTGTTGTGTCCGATACATTTCTTGTTGTATTGAAGAGTGCACTAGTTCTACGTAAGTATTGCATCCTGTGTCTCGCTCTCGTTGCATTTAATAGTTCCGATTCAACGAAGGAAAAAATATATGGTGAAACAGAAGTAGTAATAGGTCTATACCATTTTTATCCCGTTCCAGCAACGACGGCAGCCACGGGTTGCTCTTGAATTTGAGAAACCATAGTGTGCATCCGATAGCGCGCCTATTGGTTGGGATCTTTTTCTTCCTTCGAAAGTCTATCGCCCGCTTACTTCACTACTGTAATGTCAGTCTACAGACGTGATTCCGTTTCTACTTCCAATACAGCAGCCGCACCCATTCCCGTTCCAATGCACATAGATACCACACCGAATCGTTCTTTACGTCGATGCAATTCGTTTAGCAAGGTCGCAATCTGTCGTGCACCGGTGCACCCGAGTGGGTGTCCGAGGGCGATGGCTCCTCCGTTGGGATTGACCTTTGCGGGGTCAATGTTCAAAATATCGATGCACCAGCTGGCCTGCGAAGCAAAGGCCTCGTTGATCTCCCAAACATCAATGTCGTTCACTATTAGATTGCACTGCTTCAACACCGCTGGAATGGCCACGGCGGGTCCGATACCCATCACACGGGGAGGGACTCCCTTAACGGCGTATCCTCTCCAGATTCCGAGGATGGTCAGGCCTCGCTTTTCTGCTTCGGCCCTGGTCATGACCAAAACCGCAGCAGCTCCATCGGTAGTTTGCGACGAGTTTCCCGCTGTCGTTTTTCCGTTTTTGGAAAATACTGGTTTGAGTTTGCCTAGGATTTCGACTGTCGTTTGCGGGCGGATTCCGTCGTCCTCGGTTACGTTGCCGACTGGCACGATTTCGTTCTTGAACTTCCCGCTCGCTCGGGCTCGAGCTGCTTTCTCGTGCGAATGGGCAGCAAAGGCATCGAGATCCTTGCGTTCCAGTCCATACTGAGATACCACGTTGTCACTCGTCAGTCCCATTGGAATCAAACAATCCATGACCCGTGTTTGTTTATGGGCCTTCTTCATGACGTCCCAATCAACGTCCGGCGCCTTGATGGAAGACATAGGATAGTAAGACATGGATTCAATCCCCCCACCAATACCAACCTGGATCTTCTTTGTCGCAACGGCATCTGCAATGTTCGCTACGGCTTGCAGGCCCGAACTGCATTGCCGGTTAACCCAGGAGAGAGGCGTAGTTTCGGCATCGATTCCGGCAACCATGTGAGCCATTCGCATGGCAGCGTATCCACTCGGTGGCATAAGGCAGTTTCCTAGGCACAAGTCTTCGATATCCTCTCCCTTCACACCGGTCCTCTTCAGGGTTGCCTCCAAAACGGTTGTCAACAAGGTCGACGGTGGGGTTTTGGCCAAGGCTCCCTTCCTGGATCGACACATGGGCGTCCGAAGTGCCGAAACGATCACCACGTCGTTAGCGTTTTTCTTTATAGCGGCTGGGCTCATTGTTATTATCGTGTTGTGCTGTGCTGTTGTGTAGTGTGCTGTGTTGTCCCGTCTTTGGTCCAGGCTTGTCCACTCCTGTGACCTGATCAGAGACGGAATGTTTTACAGAATTGAATTCAACTTTTCCAGGCCGTAGAAAAAGAGTCCTCACCGTACACGTAGATCTGCCGTGCCCGCAAGTGCTTTCGAGAAGTGCATAATGAACTGTTGACTGTGGACGCGTGTTCGATGCGCGCTTTTCTGAGGTAAGGTACGTACCGTAAGAAACGAGTACGAACGAGTTGGCTACGGTGCACTGGACTACCACTATCTTAAGCGCACAGTACTACGTACTTCGTACTCCTACCCAACAGACTTGAAGAATTCTCACAGCCCTGTAAGAAGGAAAACTTGTTTTTAGTGTGGATTTGTGTGAACCCTGGTATACCATTTTTTGCAAATAAATTAGTACCTTGACCAAAAACAGATTATTCATTTTTAACTTAAACATTCAGTCATTATTGTGACAACAAGTCATTCCAGTATTTAAGAGAAACTGCAGAAACAAATTGCTCCCAAAACTAAAAAATCAGTCATTATCGTGATGAGGATCAGTCATTCTTCCAGAATTTACAAGAAACAAATTGCTCCCAAGACTCAAAAAATTAGTCATTATGGTGACAATAAGTCATTCCAGTATTTAAGAGAAACAGATTGCTTCCAAGACTCAAAAAAAATCAGTCATATTTGTGATAGTCATTCCAAGATTTAAGAGAACCAAATTGCTCCCAAGACTCAAACAAATACTTGTAAGTCAAATTTGTGATTGACTGTTCCAAAATGTAAGAGAATAACCTACTACTAAATCCTTGCACAAAAATTATTGTGATCAGTCATTCAGATATTAAAACAATCCCAACAACAATAAATATGGACAGCTTTGGATAGTTAGTATGGTTAGTAGTATGATATGCATGATGCACCAACTGATGCCTTGTTGGACAAGTTGAGTCCTACACAAAATACTGCCAGTTCCTCTCCGCCCACAGAAGTTGGGGAAGAGCATCATGAAGCATAGGAATGCCAACACCAACTGCCAATACCAACTGCCAACACCAAGAACTACCAACACCAACCGCCAACGCCAACCACCAACGCTAACCACCAACGCCAAACGCCAACGCCAAACGCCAACGCCAAACACCAACACCAACACCAACACCAACACCAACGCCAACGCCAACGCCAACGCCAACGCCAACGCCAA